TATTGGGTTGGCAACTAAGTAATTGCCGATTTCAGTTATAGATGTCTCTCACTCCCATTTTTATGATATCCGTAAATGTTATATTATAAAATTATTATTATTATTATTATGTTATTTTTTATTATCCGCGAATGTTAGCAACTGGACAGATTGAATGCAGCGGTCAAGGAAAAGCGACCAGAATTGGTCAATCGTAAAGGTGTGATTTTCCAGCAGGACAATGCTAGGCCGCACACGTCTTTGTCCATTCGGCAAAAATTGATGGATATTGGATGGGAATTGATGTTACACCCACCATATAGCCCTGATCTCGCGCCATCGGATTACCACTTATTTCGATCCCTGGACAACTCCCTTCGTGGTAAAACTTTTAATGTGATAATGAAACGCTGTAAAATCTCACTTAACTCAGTTTTTGGCCGAAAAGGATCAGACTTCCTACGAGCGTGGAATTTTCAAGTTGTCAGAGTGATGGCAAAAGGTCATCGAACAAAATGGAAAATACATTACAGATTAAACTTCGTTCCAAGTAAAAAAAATTTTTTATTTCATTGAACAAATCGGCAATTACTTAGTTTTGCCAACCCAATAATATTACTCGGTCGTGCTGCACTACCGATAAGCGTGCGAAATCAATTAGTAGTCCCTACGTCAATAACCGGGTATCTCGTTCCTATTTGCGTGTAAATTCTGTACCGTCGGTGTTTCTCATTAAACAGTTACAAAACAGCATTCGACAATTTCGTATTCAGTTACATATACGGCATGAAAATGCCTGTTGAAAATTCTAGAAAGAACGGTTGAAAAATCATTGAGAACTTTAATTACTAACGTAAGTGTCAATCAAGTATTAAAATCCTACATTTATTATATAACGTAATTATATCCTCTTCGACAATGTTGTAGATAGTTAGTAATTAACTATTATGATTAAACAACTTGACTTTTAATCGTAATTATTTCACGGTTTAATTAAATTTGTAATTAGATCTATCATTCCTTGTAATCCTTCCAATTTATTCAATTTACAGTTTTATTTAATTAAACAACTTAATTTTTTAACAACTATTCCGCTATTTATTTGTTCTTTCACATTTTTTATTTGTCTGGTGCTGCTTCGCTACGAATTTGATCGCCAATTAAATAAGTATGATAATAAATATTTGACTACAAAACTTATTAAAGCCGTAGTCCATTGCAGTATACATATTTTTAGCGTTGTGTCATTACGATCGACTAAAAACAATCAAATTTTTAACAATAAAGTCTTGTCGATCACAAGCATTAATTCATCGTATTGAAAATATTAATTCTTCGATGCGCAACTCTACTCTCAATTTATTTCGCTCCAATCCAAATTAAAATATATACTTGCATACATATATATGAAACACTATTTATAGATTTTTAAGTATGCGATGAAATAAAAAAAAAATTGCGTACGAATGTTGGATAAAACGCAAGTCTGAAATGCCTCGATGTCCGTAATGAGGTCTGGTTTACGTTTCACGCTGGGGTGTCATGGTCTCCAGCCCTATCCCCAATTTATCTGGCTTCGAGGCGACAGGCCCCAAGAGTGTGACAAAAAATGCAGAAACGGCTTTAGGCTGTGGACACACCGGGAGTTTCTCAGAAATACAAGCAAGAATTATTCAGCGATATAAAATAGAATTTTCCTGCTCTCGCATTGTGTACATCTATGTAACTTCCCGTAGCCGTTATTAAATATTATTATTATATAATATCTATAATAATATATTGTTTATATTCGAACGAAATCGTCCTCTCGACGGCTCGCGATACCATTCCCGTCTAACTGATGCGTTAGATTCGCATATTCGAGTGCTCTTGCGTATCGAGAATTCGAGTTCGATACAAAAGTAACGCGGGAACGCTCTATAGAAGATAAGGGATTCTCCGTCAGGTGCCATTTACGCGAGACAGAACCGTTACCGGCAGCAAGCTGGCACCGATTTTCCAAAACCTCTTCAACGATCATCCTCTCGGCCGGTATATACGAACAAGTTCGTCACCGACTGCTTCCGCACCTGTTGTGTGACACAACTCGGCAGACAGTTTTGCGGCAGAGAAGTTCGTGGTTCTCGTTAAAAACCGGGGGAAGGAAAAATCGAATGAAAGGAGAGCCAGGACACTCACCGTTCTGTACGCGCGTCGCTCCCACCGGCGATAATCCACGTGCTGAGAACACACTGGACAACACAACGTGCACACAGAGAGACAGAAACACTCGCGGCAATGAACCAGGGGACGAGGTGAAACGTCAGTATCACAAACGCGCGTCGCGGGATGAACAATACGCGGAACACGTCGCGCGTTCGATGTACATGCACTCCGAAAACAAAAGGCACGGCGCGGCGCGGCGCGGGCGGCGGGAAAAAAGGTGGAAAAACACGAAGCGCAGACGAAAAGAAAAAACGCACGCTCATAACCGTTTCGCGTGGCCGGCTGTGACTCTACTCCGGCTCGCTTCGGCTTCGCCGCGACGCGACACTCCGACGACTCCCCTCCACAGAGCGATTTCTCCCACTGTCGACGCGACTTCTACTTCCAGTTTACGCTTCCGATCTTCTCGGCTAAGTTCGCCAGTTTTCGCCAGTTTTCGGCTCGATCGGCGTCTCGCCAAGTTCCGCTCGGTAGAAAAAGAATCGTCATGGGGGTACGTGTGTATCCTATTAGAGATACCCATTTTATGCGTATTTTAAATACACCCAATTCTGTTTTCACACGGTAGACACATTCTAAAGTTGTGTAAAAAAATTACATGACATTAATATTATCGTTTTTTTGCTCTGTATGTTCACATACGTATAAACTCAATGTCACACTATACACTCTCGAAAGTGTGATATAATTTCTTCATTAAATTTGTATCACGCAAAAAGCTAAGGAATTTTTGATTGTTCTGAAAATTTAAATTAAATAAATTTTTAACTGAGCTTAATCGAATGAAATCGTGTGGAAAGAAAATCGGAGTAATTTTTCTAGACCGTGTTAAATCAAAAAGCCAATTGCACCATTTTGGCTGAACTATCGCAAACCGGTCGCTCCAAAGGTTGAAATTTTGCAAATATTTTCATTTTACACATAAAAATAATAACATCGATTAACTGAAATATTTCTGAGAAAATTAACTGAAATTTTGTTGAGATGTCAGAGAGAGAGAGAGAAAGTAGTTTGCTAGACCAATGTCTAAATAAATTTTTGTAAATATTGTAACTGATTGAAAATGATAGAAAAAGTTAAAAATTCAAATTTTTGAACTTTCTTATCCGAGAGCTTATAATGAAAATTTCAAGAATGCGTTTTGCAAGACTGGATGATTTGTATGCATCCTAAAGAACGAAATTGTTGGACGTTGTTATAAACTTCGAACGATTAAATATTGCAAAGGTCTCAGTTTTGTCGCGATTTTCGACAGTTTCGTCCGTACATTTTTACATCGTTCAATATCTATGTACACCTTGTATTTAACCGATTTCTATGAAATTTTGAGTATGCGATTCATAACTCACAGGTATATATGACTGCAGCGTCACCTGTACGTGAACGATGCAATTATTTGTTTCAGATTTGAAAATTAATTTCTAATCTGCTGGTCTAATTTTGCGTTATTATCTTCGTTATTGGAATTCGCGACATGACCGACAGTTATTCGATACTCTGTTGCTGATGATTATAATTCGAAAGATGCATAACATAGGCGAGAGTGTGTAGCCATATTTGGACCAACCATTTATGTTGGGAAAGTAAGATACATATGTACTTATTATTAATGGTATTAATTGATTATGAATAATGTTTTGAATATGATCGAACTATATATCTTGAACAAGAAAAATATTTGCAGTAGTATTAGTGAAATTCGATAACTAGGTTTTGTCAATTAGTTATAATTTAGACGCTTGGTTACTCTGTCTTATTAAAGATAGTACTTCCGGAGAAAGTTTAGTTTTCTGTGCGACTGTTTTTGTATGTTGTTTGTAAGATGTATATACCTGATTCAAAGGTGAATATAAGCTCGAACATTTACCACGCGCAATACCCAG